TCTGTATGCTAGGCAAACTCTCTACCAACTGAGCTATGTCTCCAGCCTTGAGTGGAGGTATTTTATGATTAACAGCAGTTTTCATGCAGAAAAAGGAAATCAGGGCAAATGAAAAAGGATATGGGCCAGGTGTGGTGGTGCACGCCTTTAATCCCAGCACTCAGGGCAGGCGATCTCTGTGAGCTCAAGGCCAGCCAGCCTGGTCTACTAGTGAGTTCCAAGTAGGGATCTGGGAAAAGCCCGGCATTGTTCCGGGACTGACGGGGAGGTTTAGTGTGACTGAACACAGGTGTCCTGGGAAGGATCGCCACATTATATTCAGGAATTTGAACTTTATACTATGACCAGTCTGGAAAATTTGTGTTTTAAGGTTTTTTCCTCTAATAAGGAAGATAAGCTTGAACATCACAGAAAGAGTAAGAAGGCAGTTGGGCTGAGAGATAGGCAAGGTCTGAACTCGGGCTGTCTGGAAGGTGAAGGTTCAGACTCTATTGTAAATTTTCCCCCTAGATAGAACTGAGAAAATAAAGTTGAGTGGTGGGAGTATAGGGAGACCGACCAGAGAGTAAATCAAAGATGACTTTGACAAGAAAACTAAGAAGGGAAAGTCAAAAAGGCAGGAAAAAGGTAAACCTTTGAAAGTGATGCTCTTGGCCTGGTTACTGTCTGTAACACTAGCATTTGGGAGGTTGAGGGAGCAGGATTGCCAGGAACTTGAGGCCTAGCTGGGCTGCAGACTAAGGCCCTGCCTCAAAAAGCCAAAACCATAAACAAACAAACAAACACACCCAAACTGATACTGAAGTAATCTAGGATTTGAAAAGCAGATTTTGAGGAAGAAAGGCAGGGGACTGAATGCTGAATTTAGGAAAATGCTGTTTGCATTATTTTTCCAGTCAGATGGGCAGATTATAGTTTTCCTTGTGTTTTTATTCCTTCTTCAACCTTTATATTCAATTAGTTATAAAGTCTGTAATTTTTTCTCTATTTTATTTTTTATTTATTTTTTTTGAGGCAGTGTCTCTCTGTAGCCACAGCTGGCTGGAACTTGCTATGTAGACTAGGCTGGTCTTGAACTCACAGAGATCCTCCTCCTGTGCCTCAGAATGCTGTGATTAAAGGTGTGCATTAGCACACCCAGACTTTTTTTTTTTTAAGACAAGATCTCATATTGCTCAGGCTAGCCTTGAACTCACTATGCAGCCAAGGATTACCTTGAAGTAAGTTTATTTATTTATTGGTAATTTTGAGATAGGGTCTCCTTGTAACCCCAGCTAGCCTGGAACTTGCTATGTAGACCAGGCTGGCCTTGAACTCACAGAGGTCCGCCTGCCTTCACCTCCCAAGTGCTGGGACTAAAGGCATGCACAACATGCCCATCTAAATATACTTATTTTTAAAAATAAGGAAATTGGAATTATTCT